GGGGGGTACCATGATAAAGGGACAGAGAAAAAAACCACCTGCTTTTCCTGTCCCTTCTCACTCCCTCCAAGTGTTTCCCCAGCCAGGCCTCCCAGGCCTCAGCCCGGGGCCTCATACCTGCTTCCTGCACTGTGGTGCCCATGGCTAGTCCCCGCAAGATGCCCAGGAGTGGCCAGAGGGAGCCTGAGGTTGGGCCAGGAAAAGCCCCCTTATGCTCCAGCAGCTGACAGGCAGTGACCGACATGAAGGAGTGACCCAGAAGGCCAGTGAGGAAGAGTCATACCACCATTGAGAATGCGGGGGAGGCAGGGAGGAACTGGGCAGGCTGGGCCTCACAGGGGACAGAATGTAGCCTCATAATCCTGCTCTGTGCCAAGGTTCTTAGGTTCTGAGCTCCGGTCAGCAGGAGGTGAGTCCAGCTCAGCTATTTCATCCCTCTGCCAAGAGATGTGATACAACCCAGGATTCCTGCGGGGACTGTAGAGCCACCATGTGATGAACTGCCACCAGGCAGGAAAGACATGGTCCAGTGTCAGACTTTAGCCTGTGGCCCCAGAAAGGTCAGAGTGAAAGGCAAGACCTGCAGCCTTATCCCCAAGGAGGCAGAAATAGCCCTGAACGTCCCCTGAACTAAATAAACAATGAACATTATATAATAATTTCATGAGGCTGAGCAAGGTGGGACTCACCCGTAAGTGCAGCACTCGGGGGTCTGGAGGAGAAAGATTGCAAGTTTCAGACCAGCTAAGGTTCTATGAAGTAACTGTCTCAGAATAAATAAATAAACACACATAAACACACTTACACATACACACGTCATACATACACACACTCTCACATGCATACATACAGTCACACATATACATATACACACATACACACACATAAACTCATACACACAATCATACATATACACACTCACACACACTCACACATATACATACACACACACACATAAACATACACACATACATATACACACTCACATACACACACTCACACATAAACACACACACATCATACATATATACACTCACACAAAAACTCATACACACATCATACATATACACACTCTCACATACACACACTCACACATATACATACACACATACATAAACTCACATACATACACACACATACACATCTTTCCTTCTGAAGATTTGAAAGCGGTATTTATGAAAATATAGTGAGAAAAGGCAGATTAAGAAGACAAAAAGGGTCACCACGCCTTTAATCCCAGCACTTTGGAGGCAGAGGCAGGTGGATCTCTGTGAGTTCTAGGCCAGCCTGGTCTACAGAGTGAGATCCAGGATAGGCTCCAAAGCTACACAGAGAAACCCTATCTATAAAAAAAAAACAAAGAAGAAGAAAGGGAGGAGAAGGAGGAGGAGGGGGAGAAGGAGGCTAATTATCACCATGCAAAATCTAAAACTCAAATGAAGGTGTGTGGCGCTGGGGGTGTGTCTCAGTCAGCATTTCCCAAGTCCTGGGTTGCATCCCCAGCACCACACAAACCTGACATGGAGGTGCACGCCTGTCATCCCAGCGTTTCAGGAAGTGGAGGCAGGAGGATGAGAAGTTCAAGATCATCTTGGGTTACACAGTGAGTTTGAGGTCAGTCTGGACTAAATGAGACCATATCTTTAAGGGGAGTAAACAGATGTCTGAAGCTTAAACACTCACATGGATGAAGGAGAGAACCAACTCCACTTGTCCTGTGACAAAAACAATTTTTTAAATTAACGTAATTTTTTTTTTTTTAATTAAAGAGACATTTTTTTAAAGATTTATTTATTTATTATGTATACAGAAGAGGGCGCCAGATCTCATTACAGATGGTTGTGAGCCACCATGCGGTTGCTGGGAATTGAACTCAGGACCTCTGGAAGAGCAGTCGGTGCTCTTAACCTCTGAGCCATCTCTCTCTGGTAGCCGGAGGGATAGCCGTGGGTGCTGGGAACCGAACTCTTATATTTTTGGTTGTGAGCCTAGCCTTTAACGACTGAGCTATCCCTCCAGCCCAAATTAACGTAATTTTTAAAGTCAGCAATCCAGATGAAGGATCACACAACCGTGGCGAGTCAGCACAGGGGAGGAGCAGCTCACAGCAGGGCAGCCAGAGAGCAGAGAATGGGAATAAAGAAAATGGTGAGCTGCAGACCCGCCCCCCCCACAAGCCCTCTTCATCCAGCCAGACTTTCTGACGTTTCCACGGTGTAGCTACCTTGTTTTAACACTTGCTGGGACAAAACACCTTGGCAAAAATAATGTGAGGGAGGAACATGTTTTGGTTCACAGTCCCAGGGGTTCAGTCCATCATGTTGGGAAATTCACAAGGCTTTTTTTTTTTTTTTTTTTTGAGACAGAGTCTTACTAGCTCCTAGTTGGCCTGGGCTTACTGTGTAGACCAGGCTAGCCTCAAATTCACAGAGATCCACCTATCTCTGCCTGCCCAGTGTTGGGACTAAAGGTGTGTGCCACCATACAATCCAAGACTCAAGTCCAGAGAATGGTGTCACTGTCCTTTAGGGTGGGACCTTGTCACCCCTCACTGTCACAGCCAGCTCAACCTAATCTAGATAACCACTCACAGGTGTACCTGGAGGCTTGCCTCCTTGGTGACTTGTCAAGTTAACAAGGGAGATTAATCATCACAGCCTTTCAAAATAGGGCCAGCATTTGGGGACTGCATAGACAGGACAGGAGCCTGTCCGTGGTGGACATCGAGTCTTCAGACCTCCACACTGCTCCATCTCTCTCTTCTTGACTGTAGCTGCAATGTGACCAGAGGCTTTGGGCTCCTGATGCTTGATTTCCGCGCAATGATGGACTGTATCCTCCTCACACTGTGTAGGAGACCTTGTCCTGAGGGTTATTTTGAAGCAACAGTGGTTTAGAGGAACCCACAGGCAGGCCGGGCCGCCAAAGATGTCAGCAGAGGTGCAGCCCAGGCCTGCCGCCAGCAGCAGTGAAGGGGGATCCTTGAGGACACGGAAGGAAGGATGAGTCAGCTCGGAGCAGATATATTTCTCCTGTAAACACTGGCATTGGAGGTCGAGAGAGGGCTCAGCAGTTGAGAACATGTTCTGCTTTGCAGAAGACCTAAGTTGCATTCCCAGCACCCAGGTCAGGCAGCTCCGGGAGATCCAACACCCTCTTCTAGCCTTTGAGGGCAGCTACACTCAAAGGCATATACTCACACAGACAGGCACATAATGGAAAATAAAAATAAAGCCTTTGTAAAAAGTCTGTATCTAGGGGGCTGGAGAGATGGCTCAGAGGTTAAGAGCACTGACTGCTCTTCCAGAGGTCCTGAGTTCAGTTCCCAGCAACCACATGGTGGCTCACAACCATCTGTAATGAGATCTGGCGCCCTCTTCTGGCCTGCAGGCATACATGCAGACAGAACGTTGTATACATAAGAAATAAATCTTTAAAAAAAACCACAAGTCTATATCTAGTATGTGGCTCATGGTTTACCTTTGTGGAAACGTGTTTGTTAACATAAAAACAACAAAACAATGACTGTCCCAGAGACTGAGTGGAAAAAACGACATCCACGCTCTCCGTACCTTGTTTAATGCCCAATTTATTTATTTATTTATTTATTGGTTTTTTTGAGACAGGGTTTCTCTGTGTAGCTTTGGAGCCTTTCCTGGAACTCACTCTGTAGCCCAGGCTGGCCTCACAGAGATCCGCCTGCTAGTAAGTAAGTTAGTGTAAGTCTTGCTGGATGGTAGTGGCACACCTTTAATCCCAGCACTTGGGAGGCAGAGGCAGGTGGATCTCTGTGAGTTTGAGGCCAGCCTGGTCTACAGAGTGAGTTCTAGACTCTCCAGGGCTACACAGAGAAACCCTGTCTTGAAAAACCAAAAAAAAAAAAAAAAAAAAAACAAGCAAACAACAACAAAAGTCTTGTAAATCTTACAGGCAAAATTTTTAAAACCATTCTCTCTGGCACATCTGAAGGTTTATAAGAATATTAAATTAATTCTCTTCAACAGTCTAACCTGCAGCAATAAATGCAGTACAAACACAGTGCCTGTTACATAACAAATAAAGGCATGTGCCAATGTTAAAAACCACAAAACCAAATCCTGGGTTTAAATTTCAGTTAAAGAACTGGAGAGATGGATCAGTGGTTAGAGCACTGGCTGCTCTTGCAGAGGACCCAGGTTCGATTCCCAGCACCCACACAGCAGCTCACAACTGTCTGTGACTCCAGTTCTAGTGGATCTGAAACCCTCTTCTGGCCTGAGGGCAGTAGGCACCAGAGCTGTACATAGACATAAAAGCAAGCAAAACACATAAAAGTCAAAAATAAATCTCAATTCCTGTACTTTAAAAAAAATTGCAGCCGGGCGGTGGTGGCGCACGCCTTTAATCCCAGCACGTGGGAGGCAGAGCCAGGTGGATCTCTGAGTTCGAGGCCAGCCTGGGCTACCAAGTGAGTTCCAGGAAAGGCGCAATGCTACACAGAGAAACCCTGTCTGGAAAAAAAAATTACCCATCTTGTTGGAGAACCCCTGCCACTAAGGCTGCAGTCCACCGTGTCGGGATCGTTCTCTCACTCAGCACAAAGTGGAGGACCCCCTTTCTCAGCGGGGCTTCCGCCTTTCCTCTGACCTAGTGGAGAGTGTCTCTAAGTTCAGATGCCCGACCTTACTTGGAGGGTGACCCTGCACAGAGCTCCCTGCAAACGGTGACGTGAGTGACATTTGTGAAGCCCTGGGCTATCCTCAGCACAACACAAACCAAGCAGGAGCACGTGCACACACACACACACACAAAGGCTTCTATAGCTTGAATTCTCAGTACACAACTCAGCAAAAAAAAAAAACTGTATGACTCAGCACGTAAGTCTCGATCTGCATCCCGACAGTATGATAATTAGAGGCTGTGCTGTGACCAATCAGCTCTCCCCATCTGTAACCCTAGGAACCTTATATACCTTACCCCTGGACCAATAAAATGAGTGGTATCCATGCCGGGCGGTGGTGGCGCACGCCTTTAATCCCAGCACTCGGGAGGCAGAGCCAGGCGGATCTCTGTGAGTTCGAGGCCAGCCTGGGCTACCAAGTGAGTCCCAGGAAAGGCGCAAAGCTACACAGAGAAACCCTGTCTCAAAAAACCAAAAAAAAAAAAAAAAATGAGTGGTATCCTGGAAGTTCTTTTCGACACGCTCACTCCTCCCTTTGGCCTCATGGGCCAGTGGCCAGTGACCCCAGAGGAAAGGGAGACCCACATAGTCTAGCCGGGCACACATCTTTAATCCCAACACTCGGAGGCAGAGGCAGGTGGATCTCTGTGAGCTCGAGGCCAGCCTGGTCTACAGAGTGAGTTCCAGGACAGCCAGGGCTACACAGAGAAACCTTGTTTTGAAAAAACCAAATAATAAACAAACAAACAAACAAACAAACAAACCAATAATATAGTCTTCAATGGCCTCTCTCTCAGCAACCTCCCAGGACTTACCTTCCACAGTTTCTACCATCTCTCAATAGTCCATCAATCACCTAATCCATTGATTAGGTCAGCACTCTCCTGATCCCATCACATGTCCAAAGCTTCACTTCTCCGCACTGCATTGAAGACCAAGCCTTCAACATACTTCATAGCCAATCCCTCAGAGAAATTCAATCATCCTATAATTAAAACACAGGGGCCAGGGAGATGGCAAGTCAGGAGAGCACTTGGCTTGATAAGGACTTGAGGGTGGGTGACCTTGGATTTATGATCCTCCTGCCTCCACTTCCCAAGTGCTAGGGTTACAAATGTGGGTGACATTTTTATGTGCTGGAGAATGAGCCCATGCATGCTGGGAAGAACTCTAGCAATGGAGCTACAACCCCAGCTCCTCACCCCCTTGGGAAGAAAAAAACAAACCAACCTAGCTTCTGGGGCTGGAGAGATGGCTCAGTGGTTAACAGCACAGGCTGCTCTCCAGAGGACCCCAGTTCAGTTCCCAGCACCCAAATGGCAGCTTACAATCATCTGTAACTCCAGTTCCAGGGGATCCAATGCCCTCTTCTGGCCTCTGTGGGCACTGAATGCACCTGGTGTACATACATACAGGAAAAGGGGAGAGGGACTTCTCTCAGTGACATTTGATGAATGAATATATGGATATATGCTCCCAGGCGGTACGGAAGCCAAAAGCCAAACCGTATCCTGCTGTGTATGTCTTTTGGCTGCTTGTTTCTCAGGTGCGTCCTTCATAATGCAGCAATGAACTGTGAAAAGAAAAACTATAACAAAAGCAACTTTTAGAGGGTATTTTAGAATGAATTGGCAAGTCAAGGAAGGATCTGTCCACAATTCATCAAATGCCTAGGAATGGGTGCTTTGGTAATGACCTCCATCCTTTGATACCTGGCAGCCAGAACAAAGGGGAACAACCCATGTCGGAGCTAACTAACTAGCTTCAACTATCAACTTGACACAAACCTACAGTAACCTGGAAAAGGAGACTTCAGCTTACGAATTAATGCATCAACTTGGCTTGTGACCTTATCTGTGGGGTATTTCTTAATTGCTAATTGACATCGGAGGGCCCAGCCCACTGTGGGTGTTCCCTAGGCTGTGGGGCCTGGGCTGTACAAGTAGCTAAGCAAGCCAAATGCAGTGTTCCTCTGTGGTTTCTGCTTCAAGTTCTTGCCTTGAGTTCAGGTCTTGGCATCCTTTGATGACGGACTGTATAACCTGCAAGCCGAATACGCTTTTTCCATCTCTGAAGTGGCTTTTGGTCACGGCGTTTATCACGGTAAGAGAAGCAAATTAGGAGAACCAGTCAAGGACGCTGTGCCCAGAGGATGCACGCCGAGGCTCCGACCTGCCCGCGTTGTCTTTATCTCTCCCTTCTCAGCACCTGCGCTCCCACACAGCATTGATTAGAGCCACTGGCACCACAGGGGCCTGGGGGAAAAGCTCGGGTAGAGTTCCGAGTTACACCTGACCAGCGTGGGTCAGGCTCTGTGGGTTTTGACACCTTTCATTGCAAAAAAGAAAAAGACAGGCCGGGGAGATGGCTGTTAGTTAGTTAGTAGCGTGCGGACTTGACTTCAATCCCCAGGCACTGGAGGTGCACATCTGTAACCCTAGTCCTAGAGGGGCAGAGACAGGGGGATCCTTGAAGTTCCCTGGCCGGCCAGCCTATCCTAAGCAGAGCATGAGAGAGACTGTCTTTTTTCTTTTTATTTTTTTATTTATTTTTTAAATTACACTCATGATATTCATTACTTAACCTCATGATATTAATCACATTTGTGGTATTCATAGATTACATTCGCAGTATTCATTCAATTATATATATATATATATGTATATATATATATATATATATAAATTTTAAATGTCGAATGTCATTTCTTGAAGGGGGTAGGAGGTTAAATACAGGCTTACAGCACAATGGGAGGACCCCGGAGGGCAGAAGTTCGCTACTGATGTTTTAC